ATAAGACAAATAATAGCTGTTGCCATTGTTTACAAAGTGAAATCTAAACATCTAGAACTACTTTACTTCAAGTTACAAATAACTTAAAAAATTATCATCTCCCAAAAAATATGGAGGTTTATTATTTGGAAGATACTCTACGTGTTTCAAGCATTACAAATGTCAAAAGGCTTGGGGATAAATTACAAAATCAGAACTAAATCTATGCTGTGCATTTATTATATTAAAGGTTTTAGAGGAACACTTCCCACACGTTGTATTAGCTTGTTAGGCTATGGGTTGTCTGTGTGTTGCTATGATGCTAAAATTGGAGCTGTGGTGGCCTAGTGGTTAGAAGCTGCGCTGTAATCCCAAAGGCAGGTTTAAATCGACCAGCTATTCTGCACAAGAAGAATGGGCAATTTCCTGTTGCATAATTTACTGCCTCTGAAAACCCGTGGAAGGTTTCAACTCAACAGCTCACAACAACAACATAATGTTAAAAGCTACGTCACCAGGACTTTGCACACCAGCAGGGTCACCCATGTTCAGTAGTGCTTACAGACTAAGACACACTAGAAAGAAGGACAGGGAAATATATTTGTAAAATATTTGGATAATGAAAGCAAACTTTACAAGTTGTACAACACTGTCTAAAATTATGCCAGAAAATGGTCTCTGCCCCTCTGAATGGAAGGCACTCAAATTATGACAAGAGGAAATCTACCTACTTTCAGGAGAGTTGACCTTAAAGATGCAGATGAAGAAAAGATTTTAAAACTGTCATTTGCTGATATTGCATAATGCAAAATGAGGGAAAAAAAACAGCCACTGTAAATAACTTCAAATAACTGGAAAATGGAAGGTATCAAGTATAAATCTATGAAAATTGGAAATGGTTAAAAATTAAATGAAGCACTTAAAAATGAACCTTTTTCCTTCCTTTGGGGTTTTTTAAAAAACACAAAATGGTATTACTGTGGAAAATGGTATGGTACCTTCTTAAAAAGCTGGAAATAAGTATACCATTTGTTCCAGCAATCTCATTACCAGGCACATGTACCCATCCACCCCATGAAAAAAGAGCTGGAACACAGATATATGCACACTTATGTTCCCTGTATCAGCTCTGGTGGCTTAGGGATAAGGAATTGTGCTGCAAAACCAAAGGCATGCAGTTTAAAACTATCAACTGGTCTGTGGGAGAAAAATGGACAATCTCCTTAGTATTTTTTACAATGACAAAGATATGGAAACAACCTAAGTGTCTACCAACAGATGAATGAGTAAACAAACCCATAGTACATACAAACAGTGATATAGTATGTAACAGAAAATAATAAGAATTCTTGAAATATTGCATAAAATGGAAGTCATCAAGCCAAGAAAAATAAGCCTCACAAAAAGGGTAATCACTGTATGGGTTCATTATTATTAAAAAGGTAAAGAAAAATATAAAAATAGACTTAAATTTTCTTGATGGTTACCAGGGATGGTAGGGGAGATGAAGGTGAAGGAAAATTAGTAATTAGATAATATATGCAAAAGGCCATTACAAAGACAGAGGAGGAAGACCAAAATGGATGTCAGAAAAGACTCTGAATATTGCACTAGAACATCAAGAAGCCAAAGCAGAGGGAAGAAATCAAGATATTAACGAGCTGAACAGAAAATTTCAAAAAAGTAGTGCAGTAAAATAAAGTATTATAACAAAATGTGCAACAGCTAGAGTCAGAAAATCAAAGGGACTGAATTCGCTCAGCATTTCTTAAGCTCAAGGAACTAAAGAGCAAATTCAAGCCTCAAGTTGCAATACATAAGGAGTCTTTGGGCAGCATATTTAATGATACAGGAAGTATTAAAAGAAGATGGAAGGTGTACACAGAATCACTGTACCAAAAGGAATTGGCAGACACAGAAGAATTTCATGAAACAACATATGGGCGAGAGCCTGTGGTGATAAAGGAGGAAGTTCAAGATGCGTTGAAAGAATGGGCAAAAAATAAGGTCCCAGGAATAGATGGTATACCAGTTCACATATTTGAACTAACAGATGCTGTCCTGGATGTGTTCACCAAGTTGTGCCAAAAAATCTGGAGGACAGTCACCTGGCCAACTGAC